ACCATCCAAACACGCCCTAAGTACCAGCAGATAACAGATGCAGATGTGTCAGCCCTAGATGTGGCAGCAGAAGCAGCCCTAGATGCATCTTTATCAAAATAGAGATTATTGAAGGAGTCTTTCAACTCTTGGTTGTCAACAACGTGCTGCAATCTTTCTCCTAACTCTCAATCCTTTATGTAAGCCAGCATCTCCATAGTTTCAGGCAACAGGCGGCGTCGCCGCTCTTCAATTATCCTTCATGTCAAGCTGAAACATGATTCTGAAGAGACAGTAGAAATAGAAACATACATAATATCTCTAGATATTATAGATAGGATTTGATAGATTAGTTTGTGGTCACGCCACCAGAGAAATAAATCAAAATCATCCTCAAATGCAGTGACATTGTCACTGTCCAGATAAACTGAGAGCTCACTAGCAGTAGAAGCAGATGAAGATAAAGTGGGGGCATAGGCAGATGAAGGACCAACAACAGATCCAGGGCCTCCAAAGATTCTTCCCCATGCCTATTTTTTCTTACATGTATGGCTTGCAGGCTGTGCAACCCTTTGAGTCCTAGCTGCACAAAACTTTTTCTCATATTTATTAAATAACTTGTAAATTTCAGCTTTCACATCAGCATAATATGAAGTATAATCACAACTAGTGCTCTCTTTAAGTAATTTCAGGACTCTAAATAAACCTCTCATCTTAGCTCTAGGATCAAGAATGAATGCAAATGAATATAACAGAGGTATATGCTGTCAATATTTAAGGAATTTAAGCTTCATAGGATATACAACAATAATTAGATTTTGATCTTTTTCACTTGCATGTAAATGAAAAGCAATTTTCTAGTAGATGGTGCAGGATAAGTGGACTAGTTGGATAGTAGACACCAAAAAGAACAACAGTGGAGTCATAAAATAGTTCTAGAAACTCTAATATCTTTTCAGCTATATACCAATGCCTTGCAAACAATAATTCAGAGCCATAATTGGAATTAATTAACACAGAAAAAATATGCTTATATGGAACCAAGTGTTTAAGCATAAGATATGTAGCATTCCATCTAACATCCATATCTAAGCCAAACTTTCTTGGTCTAACACCCTTAGCAGTATAGTAGCTCTTAAACATAGCAATTCTTTGATTAGAGGAATTTGAGAAGTTAATAGCAGTTCTAAAATCTTCTGTGTAAGGTTTGAACCTCTTTAAATCAGATTTTATATTCAGATTAATGATATGACAAGCGCAATGTTGATGCACAAGACTGTACTTACGCTTAGAAGGATCAACATGCTTAGGTGTAGGATCAGGACCCAAATAACCAGCAAACATAGGTGTTAAAGTTTCCATAGCCTTAGCATTAGAAGAAGCATTGTCTAGAGTTATAGAGAAAACCTTATCAATCACACCAAACTCCTCAACTACACAAGCAACTCTTTCAGTAATATTTTCACCAGTATGTTTCACCTCAATCAACCTAAGCCCAATAATCATTTTCTGTAACTCCCAATCAGCACTCACAAAATGAGCAACAACACTAATATAATCCTCCTTAGCATTACCAGACCAAATGTCTAATGTCAGAGCAACAGAGAAAGCAGCAGACAACACAGAGTTCTTAAGAATATTACGACGTTCAGTAAATAGCTTGCTAAGATCTCTAGTGATGGTCTGTCTAGACCTCTGTCTCACCAATACCTAATGGCAGATCAAGCCTGGCAATCAAGAGACATAACTTAGATCTAGCAACATCAGGTTTATGGTCCTAGTTATGCGCAGAACCATCAGGATTGTAAGCAAGTCTAGACTGAACCCTAGCACGTTGATCAGTTTTCTGCCTACAAGATTTCTAGTGCCTCTTCAAGTGGCCAGTGCCGGCATTAAATCTAGCAGACAAGGTTTGCTTACATATTTTACAGGTAGCTTTAGTGCAAATCTTTCTACCATTCATAGTCTCATATATCTCATCAAAATCAGCCCACACATGTGATTTACGCTTACCAACATTAGAGTTACCAGCAACAGATGGAGCAGAGGTGTTAGAGTTGGAGCCTAGCGGGTTCCCAGTCGTCGTCGCCCCTTCACCACCGTCGCCGTCTAGATCGATCGGAGTCAGAGCAGTAGAGCCGCTATCGACATTGATACCGGACAACGTAGCAGCGTCCTTTCCGGTGTCGTCATCGTCCTTAGGGGCTAGGCCTGCCGCGATCAAGTCGTCGTTGCTGATGAGCGACCAGACGATATAATCATCAGCAGTCGCCATGGCGGACGGCTCTCCAGCACCGTTCCTCAACGGTGCGCGGGACCGCCTTGGTCGCTCTATGCCATAGCTAGAGGACGACGCATCGGCTACCGACCTGCGCAAAGAGATGGAGGAGGATGAAAAGATCACATCAGAATACATCAATGGAAGAAGATAGAAGAGGAGGGTTAGGGTTAGGGTTTTACCTGCGCAACCGGAGCCCAGTGCCGGAGAAGACGACGGCCACCCAGAGAAGACGACACACCGGTTAGCAAGGACAACGAGCGGCGGAGGAGGGACAGACGGAGACAACGAACTCACATAATCACCGAGATCTAGAGGGGAGATAGGGAGATGGAGATGGGAGAGGCAGAGAGAGAGGGGATCAGGGGAGGTCGGCGGCGACAGGCGGAGTCAGAGTCGGCGAGGTCGGACGCTAGCAGACTGCAGATGAGACGGCGAGGTGTCGACCATCGAGCGGTCAAGGCGAGAGCTAGGCGAGACCGCAAGAGGCGAGAACGGCGAGGCGGTGGCCGGTGGGGGAGTCGGCCAGCCGGGAGGAAATGATTTAGGGTTAGGGTTGAGGAGGTAGAGCTAGGCAAGACTGCGAGAGGCGAGACCACGAGCGCGAGAGCGGCGAGGCGGTGGGAGAGCCGGGAGGGAGGAAATGATTTAGGGTTATGGTTGAGGAGGGACGCCTGCGGCCGTCGCTTTTATACATGCCGCGCGGGGGGGGGGGTGGCGGGCGCGAGGGTGGGCTGAGCCGCTTCGCGCCTTCGCCGCTGTCCACTGCGCGCCGGCGCTGGGCCGCTGCCGGGCCGACCCCTTAAAACCGGGCCGTGCCGTGCCAGCCCGCGGGCTTGAGTATCAGCCCAGGCACATCCTGCTCTATCGGGTCGGGCCAGCCCAGGCCCGCACACCACCCTGCCGGACCGTGCTTGGGCCGGACCAAATTTGCGGGCTTCGCGCCAGGCCGCCGGGCCTTGGGTTGCATGAACATCTATACGTACGGGTACGGTTCAATCCAACATCCGTGTCCACACGTGCGTAAGCATAATATGGAACTTTGGATTGACTTCAGATTTGTAGTTAAGTTAATCGTCAGATCAGCTAGTCGACGCACACTTTCGATCTGACGGCCGATCGTTGCGTGGCTCCCATCACAATCCCTACGGACCAGGCATTGTCTTGATGTTGATCATGACAAAAAAATTGTCATGCTGTAGATGATAGAAAGTAGACGGGTAAACACACGCGAGGCTGCCATGGATCGCGTATGATACGTCAAGGATGAACACGACCCTGGCCCCCAAGTACGTACTCCAGTAGTAATTGCCCTCCAGCTGCAGTTTTCGTTTCAAGATTCCCATAATGCTGTTCTGTTCTTGATGCGCCGGTACAGCCAGATCAGCCCCGGTTTTAGTAGTTTTGTTTAAGGGAAAGCATGCTTGTCACCTACTGCTCCCTACTACTGTCGCTCTCATGGTGGAGCCGTGGAGGTGGCGCCTGCTCGCTGGCCGCTGGGCGGGGCAGGCCCCAACTGCGGCAGCGCTTGTCCTTTCCGGCCTGTGGCTCACAAGCGAACATGTGTGCTTGCGACACTGACAACGAGCCCGCTGCTATCGCCGCGGTGACTCCAGCCCTCCAGCGGCAGATTGCAGATCGCGGCGGTTGTTAATCCACCGCCTCCTCAATCAACTGAACGAAGAGAGAGAAAGAGAGGGGGGAAATTCTTTGGTTGTCATTAAAAAAAGACCGTAATGCTTTATGTGTTTCTGAAAATGTTTAGCGGTCTTCAGCGCCATTGCTCTAACTTTTTTATGCTCTCCATGCCATTGCCGTCAGTTTGGACTCTAACGCCGTTAAACTGTAGGTGTGAAAAGTCGAAAATACCCTTATGTGTAAATATGTCAATAATTTTTTTAGCATCTTAACGACTTCAAATGAAAAACTCAAAACTAGAAAGTTATAGATCTCGTCAAGATCTATAATTTTCATATAAAAATTATCTTCATTTAATTTCATAAAAAATATGATTTGATATGATTAATATATCTTAGAAAAATCATATCTTTTTTTGCGAAATTAAATGAACATATTTTTTATATGAAAATTATAGATCTCGACGAGATCTACAACTTTCTAGTTTTGAGTTTTTTCATTTAAAGTCATTAAGATACTCAAAAAATGAATGACATATTTAGACATATGGGTATTTTTGACTTTTTCAGACTCGCAGCTTTGATTTTAATAGAAATCCAAATCGACGACGACGAAGCATTATGGAAGCATAAAAAGTTAGAGAAAAGAATATCGAACACCGTCGAATTTTTTCCAGAAGCACACAAGTCAATATGATTTTTTTTTTAATAACACACCTGGAATTCCCCAAAGAGGAGAGAAAAAAACCTCAGCAACCGCCGCGTTGCGCTCGCGCAGGGGAATCTGTCGCCGTGTCGCGCACTTTCCCCTTTCCTCCGCCTGCTCTCACGTGTTCATCGTTTGTTCTCGCTCCATCCATCGTTCCACTTCCATCCCTCTCCCCATCACTCAGCGCGTTGCTGTCGCCTGGGAACAATAAGAGTTTGCGCGTCTCGCGACTGATCGCTGGCAGCCGGCACTGCCACTTGGCGGCGACTTGGACTTGACTTCCGGGCAATGGGCGAGGAGAGGGGACCAATTCACAGGGTTTAAATCGGCCTCGGCCCTGCCGCGAGTTCTTGCTGTGTTCGCTCGGAGCGGGGCGAGGACTTGTCGGCGCGGCGCGATGCAGCAGCAGCGGCAGCAACAACAAGGTAACGCCGAGTCCCACGACGCCTCGCTTCAAAGTTGCAATCTTTCGATGCTTTTGAGCGTTCTTCGAGTGCGATTTTGGGCAAAAGAACCTATGTGGGGTGTCGAGGAAGAAGGGGGATTGCGGCAGGCTGCCTGAAACTGCCTCCTTTGATCGAGAAATGCAACTGGTTAACCATTGATTTTGTTTGCCTATTGTATCACTACTAGTATGAAATGCTACTGCTTCATCGCTATATATGCCTTTTAATTTAATAACAAGGTTATTAGTACTTCTTGGTTGAAGAACGAAGTTAGCAAGCGTCGTTGCCGCGAAAACATTAAAAAAGATATTCTTTTCCGTCCTTGTCTTCTTTATTTCTATTTGAGCGAGACCACCCGCCACCCGGGGTGATTTTGGAATGGACTTCTAATGCTCACTTCGGTGGCCTGAGATTTCCGGGGTCTCTTGTCAAGTGTTCATTATAGAGTAGTGTAGGAAAGAGTACTGCCCTACACTACACACAACCATTTGAGTGCAACCTGCATATAACTCACGATCCAACGTTTAAAATTACTTAGATGGAAACATCATAAATGCATAGGATGGTTACAATTACGGTTGTACTACTTGAGTTGTATGTCAAATGGTTGTACCAGAAGCATTTCACTTCATAAATTTGGAGGTTGATTGATGTACCAAATTTAATTGTTGTTAACCATCCACTGAACACTTATGTAATTGTGATCTTTGAGTTGCTATGTGTTGGCTGTGTCGTAGTTTCATATCTCTTGTCAACCAGTGTTGTTGCCTATGGTTTTACTGTTCAGGCTTAGACATAGACAAGCTACAACATGCAGTGAAGATCCGCTGGCTAAAGCCTCAAGAAGTTCTGAAGATACTGCAGAATCATGAGTTGTTCACGATCTCACATAAGACCCCACAGAAGCCACAGAGTAATAAATGCATCCTTTGGTTTTGGACTGTAAATATATGACCAAGGCTTGTGCTTGGTTTCTTTAGCCCTGAATGTGACTAAATGAGCCAATTCGAAACCTGCAGGTGGTTCTTGGTTTCTTTTCAATCGTAGAGTACTCCGGTACTTTCGAAGTGATGGATTCGAATGGCAAAAGAAGAAGAATGGGAAGACCATTAATGAAGCTCATGAGCGCCTTAAGGTCTGTTCATTTACCCTTTTGGTGAACTGCGCTGTGTTCATGTCTAGGTTAAAGATCTCTCCAAAAGTTAATAGATATGAATGCTACTCAGAATATGCTTGGGAGCAGTCATCTTGATAAGCCAATAAGCTATTGAGAGATGTTTGGTTTGTAGTCCAACTGAATCGGACGGATTGTATAAGAAATAGACAATTTCATAATGAAATTTGTACTTAATGCCCCTTCATAATGATACAAATTTCCTCCCCTTCAGTTCTGATGCTGGAAATTTCAGGTTGATAATGTGGATGCACTGAATTGCTACTATGCTCATGGAGACAAAAATCCTACATTTCAGAGGCGGATATATTGGATGCTGGATCCGTAAGAATTATCTACTCTCAACTCTCATTCTTTTGGCACATCAGGCGATGCATTTCCTTAACGCACTGATGGTATTATACCAGTCATAATGCCCTGCTGGAATGATGATTATACCTGCCATTTTTATGACTTATTCTACTTGTGGTTTGATCTGTTTTGTTTTAATTGAATCTCATTGGTCAGTATGTAAATCAATTTGCATCTTGATAAAAGCTATCCATCTTTGCAGGGCTTATGAACACATTGTCCTTGTCCACTATAGGGATGTTCTAGAGGTTTGACTCCTTTTCTCTTTCTTATGTCAATGAAAGTATGCAGTTTTGATGCTCAATAATTGGGGGGGGATTCTTTTTTCCTCTATTTGCCAGACATTATTCTGCTTTCACAGTCTATGATCTTAGAGATCAAGGCTGGCATTGAATCATTGAACTTATTAGGTTAAATAATTGATTAATCCCATTCGCAAAAAAAAAATGATTAATCCACTTGTGTCTGGGTGTGGGTCGGTATGTTGTATGGGCTCTTACCCTTTTTATTCGTAATATAGTGATTGATTAATCCTACATGTTTGAGAAAAAAAGTTGATTAATCCTTGTCACTAAGAACCAATTTTTCAACAGTTAGCTCACCTTTTTAAGCTAATGCAGTTAATACTAGAGTGATTGAATCCACGACATTAAATTTAGTTTTTCATGTGTCTCACCTTTATTTATTGATTGCTTACCAGGGCAGCATTTCAGTGTCTGCACGAAATGATTCTTCAACATCGAATCAGAATGGCAGTGCTAGCAGAGCTGAAGTACATAGTTCACCTGGTTGGACAAGTGAGTTAATTGTACAATGTCCCAATTCATGCAGTCCGGGATCTGTGGAAGAAGTTAGTTCCCGAACTAGTGCAAGTGAATCTGATTGGATTCAACATAAGGCAGCCTTGCGGAAGCTTAAAATGCAGCTGAGTCTGGAAGACAAAGAAGATTGTGATGTTAATGCCGAGGAAGTTCCAGCAAATAATGAGCCTATTATTTTGCCTGGGATTCAGAATGAGGAGCTAGGCACTTCTAGGAATCATGATGATATCTTTGATGTGCTGGACTTTAGTGAAGATTATATCAATGGAACTGGAACCCACCCATGTCCCAGTGCTATTGATGTGCTAAAAAATTCAGGTGCAGTAACACATGTATTCCAATTATTTCATTGCTAAGAACTGTCTGAGACATAGTGGAAATCTTTCTTAGGATTTATTGCATGTATGTTTTAAAATTCAGACACATGGTTAGAGGAGGATCAACTTGAGGCAATTCTGCATCCAGCGTGTATGACACTGACTGAAAATCAATGGTTCAAGATCCATGAGGTTTCTCCAGAATCAGCGTTTTCTTCTGAAAGTACAAAGGTATCATATGGCGTTACTAGTCTTGATTAAATTACTGCAACATGCATCCTTCTTTCTTTTTTTTTTCTATTGGCATGATATTGAACAACACGTCCATATCCTCATGTGGTACTTATATACTCTGATTGCAAATATAAGTTGTTTTAGGCTTGTGCATAGGAATTAATAAAGTGTTGAAATGATTCAAATGACCTTATTACCTGCGATTAGTGGATTAGTTAGCAAGGCATAAGAAGAAAAAATTGGGGACAGGTTCCTAGAATCCTATAAGACTGTCTCCAACCATCGGACCTAAAAACGAGACGTATACCAGGGTTTGGGTACCGCACAACGATGGGTCACGGACCCAAAAAAATGAACTTTTCCAACCGCCGACGCAAACGAGAAAAGCTCCCGTCTGCGCCTGCGCCTTCTTCGACGCACCCTCGCCTGCGCCTTCTTCTTCGACGCGGAGCCCGCCGTCGGCGAGCCCAGCCTGCCCGCGCTCGACACGTGCGCGCTCTGCGCCAAGCCGCTGGCCGGAGCCGCGCCATCGAGCGCCGCCATCCGCGACCGCCGCCGACGCCACGTGCCCGAAAGCACCACCCGCTTCGCCATCAGCGATCGCCGAGCGGCACCACCGTGGCTGCCGCCGGTCGAAGCTCGCTGCTCTCCCTCGTTCCGCCCTCTCTTCCCGCGCTCTCTCGAATCCGCTCGCCCAGACTCGAGAGCGAGCGCAATTAGCTACCGAGGGGCCCGCCGCGCGAGCCCCTTTCTCGGCCGGTGGCGCTTACTGGCGAAGCGCGCCCGGCGGCGGCCACCTGGCGGCGAAGCGCCCCACGGCACGGCGGCGCCCACCACCACGGTGCCGACGCGAGCGAGCGGGGCCGGCGGCGCGGCCGGTGCGGGAGCGGGCCACCTCGGACGCGAGCGGTGCCGACTCGAGTGAGCGCGGACGATTTGCGTAGCGAGCAGAGAGCGACGCTTTTTTGCGTATCGTTCGGTGCGGTAGGCAAAATGGGTCACGTGTTTGGGTCAGCTGTTGGATGTTGTTTTCGGGTAGGCAAAGCACTGTGGGCGACGCATTTTGGGTCTGCGTCTCGGCGTTGGAGACAGTCTAATGACTTGTGAGTGGCAAAGTCTAAAAACGAATTACTTTTGGAATTGAGGGAGTAATACTATATAAAGTATTTTGATCTGATAGCTTGAAGCCCGAGTCCATCTCTGGGCCCAATGAAACGAAAAAGAACCTATCAGTTGGGACAAACCTGTGTCGAGAACTACAATGGTTGTGGACTTATGAAAATGTAATGCAGGTTATCATTGTAGGAGACTTCCTTTGCAATCCCCCTCACAGTTCATGGGAAGTGCTGTTTGGTGATGTTAAGGTACCTGTGGAAATTATCCAGCAAGGTGTCATCCGTTGCCATACTCCATGCCTTAATACTGGAAAAGTGAGAATGTGCTTGATCGATGGGAATGGGAAGTCCTGTAGTGAAGCACGAGAATTTGAATTCCTTGAAAAGCCTACCAAAGGCATGATTGATGGAAACAGGAACCCCTGCAATGAAGCACGAGATTCCAAAACCCATCAGATACCAACCAAAAGTAGTGACAAGTTGTCACTGTTACTACACTATGTTCAGACGCTTTTTGATGGTCATGCTTCTGGGCTATTTTCAAATTTTAGCTTGCCACTCCCAAATCTCGGCTGTGAATTCCAAATCAACCAAATGGATATCATAAAGAAGGCGTATGAGCAGCTGGACCCTGAGAATACAGTAAATAGTGTCATGGAAGCATTGCTTAATGACAAGTTTAAGCAATGGCTGTCATCTAAATGTGAACAGAATATTGACGGAGACCATTTGCTTCCTAAGCAATACCACAGTATTATACATATGATTGCAGCCTTGGGATATGTCTTGGCTTTGAAGCCACTGCTTAGTTCTGGAGTGCCTATAAACTACCGTGATGCAAATGGATGGACCGCTCTACATTGGGCTGCAAGGTTTGGCAGGTATACAAAACTCTTTACATCATATGCAGCGTAATGCTATTTTATTCATGTTCAAGTTTCAAGTGGATCTTGTTGGTTATATTTCTCCTATTTACCATTCATTCATTGCCAGGAGCCTTCTTATTTTTGGACCTAGACACAAAATTTTACTTGCACAATTTGGGCAGTTGATCTCTTATGTAATGGTTTTCTCTAAGCTGTTTTTCTTACTGACTTCATAGTTTTCTATTAAAAACAGAGAAGATATGGTGGCGTCTCTTCTTACTGCTGGTGCTGCAGCTGGTGCACTTTCACATCCGACATCAGAGGATCCTGCTGCCAAAACACCTGCTTCAATAGCTTTGGCATATGGTTTCAAGGGCCTATCCGCATTCCTTTCAGAAGCACAATTAACAACTCATCTTGATTCTATCGAATCAAAAGAAAATGGAAAACTTGATTCTACGGAAGGGGGGATATGTCGTGCTGTGGACAGAATATCAGACAAAAGCAGCCACGTGCATGGTGGAACTGATGATCAGCTTGCGCTTAAGGATTCCCTAGGAGCTGTCCGGAATGCAGTTCAGGCTGCAGGACGCATACAAGCTGCATTCCGAATTTTTTCCTTTAAGAAAAAGAAAGAGATGGCTCTTCAGAGCAGAAATAGCTGCTGCTTGTCCATTAGTGAGACAGGAGCAGTTTCACATGGTATGCTGGAGAAAGCTGCATTATCTATCCAGAAGAACTTCAGGTGCTGGAAAAAACGTAAAGAATTCCTGAGGATACGAAATAATGTTGTCAGGATACAGGTAAGTCTTTTGCAATGTTGTGCTTATAGTGATCGGATCTCTCAAGTGTATGTAACACGTGCAGAGTAAATCACAATATGTATTAAAACCTCAAATGGGTAATTCTTATTGTCATCCTGATAGGCCCGGGTGAGAGCTCATCAAGAAAGAAAGAAGTACAAGGAATTACTTTCAAGCGTCGGAGTCCTTGAGAAGGTGATGATACGGTGGTACCGTAAAGGTGTTGGTTTGCGTGGATTCAATTCTGGGGCGATGCCTATTGATGAAGAGGTGGACGAAGACGTTGCCAAGGTTTTCCGGAAGCTCAGAGTGGAAACAGCCATTGATGAAGCTGTTTCAAGGGTATCATGTATCATTGGCAGCCCTAAAGCAATGCAGCAGTACCGTAGGATGCTCAAGAGGTACCAACAAGCAAAGGTGAATCTCTTCTCAAAAACTTGTAGTGCCACAGCTACCATGATCATAGTTGTGATCCATTAAAGACTTGCATGAAAAGTTTATAAAATGATTCCTGAAAAGGAAAAGGTAGCTTTAGGACTAACTAAAACGGGTTCCCCCATTGCAGGATGATCATGAAAAGTAATGCTTGTGTTAAACCAACAGTGATGGAGCAAACAGCAAAGCACAAGCCACCCACTATTTACTTATCTCCCTTATTGAAGGATCTCGGATCTGAACATCGGTTGTCTGGGTAAAGTAAAGACTAAAGCCTTGGTGACTGAATGGACAGTGGATCCCGAGAAAAACTGAAAAATTCTTCGGTGATCTAGTACTAGCTCCAATTCATGCTGGGCGCTATTTGAGTGTACATAGCAACGTCATGTGCAATAGCTGACTTTTGGCTGAAAGTTGATAAAGGTGATGACTTAGTACATGCAGAAGCTTCCAAGAGCCTGAGCAAGGTAGATGAGGTCTGAGCAACACTGTATTCGATATATATGCCTTATGTACTACCTTCAGGCAGTAGGTTTGTAGTAAGTTTGTACTATATGGTAGTAAATAGGGGTTAACTATTGTAATTTGTAGCACAGTGAATGTTGTAAGGAATCTCTCAGTTGACATTTACCAATTAGAAATACTCCATCGTTTACACATGGGATGATGATGACTGACGATCAATTTTGCCAGTTAATATGTTCGCTCCAATCGTCCATTTCTTCTTCAAGACAGTGACATTCCAACAGTTCAACAGTTTAACGCCAGTTGTTTCATGCCTTTGGCATCAGCTTTCAAATGGAGCAGCGATCAAAGAAGCCTCTTAGCATTAAACTTCTCCCGTAGTCTCGTGATCAGAATTCAGATGGTTCAAGCAACTGCCAACAGAATAAACAATCAGGCAGGGTGCGAGACACTGGTATAAAGCACTGAACCGGACAAACACAAAGCGACTGGCAGGCTCCATTCAGCAAGAACCAGAGGATTAGGCGTTTGTAACCACTGGCATTAGTTTAAACAGCAGCAATCAAGTGCGTCACTTTGGACCTTTTGGGGCGATTAACATATTGCGGCAGTTAGGTACCGTCGCAATACGCTCCAGACCACACATTAAACAAGCTCCGTGACATCAGGCAAAAGCCATTTCATCAGATAAAGCCACACCAACAGGCAGTTTTCAGTGTAATAATTGGCTGGTTGAGTACCAGTAGCTTATCGTTTCTATGGCTTATAAGCCGACTGATGCTGTTTTGTTGTGAGAGAAAAACACTATATCATGGCTAATAAGCATGGCTGATACGATCAAGCGAACAGGGTGACGACAAGCTGATGGCGACTGATGTTTTGTCAAACAAAACTTCCGTCTTTGAATGTGTCATTTACAATTTACAGCTTCGACCCATACAGACCGAAGATGATGCATACAAAATGCCTGCACAAACAACCAATACATAATATGTACAGCCGAACCTTCCTGGGGAAGGAAAACTTCTCTCCCTACTCTATATTATAGTGTCAGAGGACATCTGCAGTTAGTGAATGCAGCTGAATTTTTTCACACGCCTTGACCTCAGCAAATTGTCGAGTAAATAGCTGCACATGCATCTTGATTTCAAGACATTGCGCATTTAGTTCTGCAGCTTGGTCAGGTGTACCAAGGAACCGAACATGGGTTGGTTCCATCTCCAGCCTAAAGTGTTTCCACCTGAAAGAATGAGAAGAGTCATGACATTAGACCTGAAGGATTCCATGGACTTAAAATAATGATTGATGAGCTCTAAAATATTGACGTCAGAGCTTGCTTTAAGAAAGCATCAGAGTTCTTCAGAACCCCTACCAACAACTTCCACAAAAAAGAAGGTGGTGCCAAGATAATAGTAAGCTTTTTAGATCTTGATAGTTGTCAAACTGCACTATTTTGATTCTTAAATCGATTAAGTATTGCTTTTGCTTAATATAAGCCTTGACATGTCTATTAAACAGTGATATTCGGAATAAGTTTACCTAACTGGAGGCCACATCCCAGCATTTCTAGTGTTTTAATAGGGCCCCTAACTCTGCGAATTGATGCCCACCTGTAGCAATGTGAAGCAATGGTGATGTAAAACTTAAATGATATTGACCATTTGAAAGAATTGACCCACAATCGTTGCTACTCATTTATATTTTAGTTCACTTTCCATGATATGACTCTGCATAACAACAGCCAGACATGTTACAGCAGGAAAAATAAAGAACAAACTAGGGGAAAATGAACTCCCAAGAAACTAGAAAAGTCAAGAACTTACTCTCAAGAACATGGGATCTCTGACAAAATACTTTCAGCCTCGATGGGTGAACCGTTGCCGATATCCTCCACTATTTTACACTCCATATAAGCCTACCTACTGAACTTGGTCTTGATTTAGGAAAAAGCGAGCTACTTCTCTGTACAATTGCTCGCCCTCGAATGGCTTGGAAACATAACCGTCCATTTCAGATTTTAAGCATTGTTCATGTGTCGCCTGGATAACATCTGCTGTCATGGCTAATATTGGAGTTCGCCACTGCCGGACGCCTGCGCATTCCGGTGGGGCTTCTCCACGTTCTATTTGCTCATTTAGATCTCTTTCCATCACTCTAATCCTTCTTGTGGCTTCAAATCTGCAAAGGTACCAAATGCATGACACAAGAGAACAAGAAAATGTAAATCCATGACAAGAGCAAGTATTGTGTATCAACTGAATATAGGTACAGATAGTGTCTAAAGCATGGTGAGATGATGAGTATACAAAGATAAAACTCACCCATCCATTTCGGGCATCTGTATGTCCATGAAACAAGCATCAAAATTGTGAGGAGGTTTCAGCAGTGTGATTGCTTTCTTCCCACTATCAGCACAAGTTACTTCTGCGCCATATTTCTTCAGAGCGCCTGCAGCAACCTTAAGATTTACAATATTGTCATCAACCACTATGATTCGTTTCTTGTGAAGAAGGCTGCCCAGTGTTGAATTGCCAACTACCCCATTCCTGCAATGCATTTTATCTATCCCACCCAATGCTCTTTGTAGGGAAACCTGAAGCATGCTTGCACGAAGTGGCTTCATAATTACATTCAAGTTATATTCCCTGAATATATGTGAATTGCTTTTGACAGAACTTTTAGGGTTCTCCAAAAGAAATAACTTTGTAGAGTCTGGCTGATCTTTGTTCCTCAATTTAGTAACCAAAAGAGGAATAGAGTGGGATTCCTTCAGCCAGGTTTCTTTGTCAATGAGCACAAGCTTTGCAATCTGTGATCCACAATTAATTTCAGAAATATACTGATCTAGGTCAGTTGTCAATTCGGTGTGAACTCCCAGTCTCTGCAAATGGTACTTAGTAACCTTGGCACGGACCAGTCTATGATCTACCACCAATGCATTGATCTCTTTAAACTCTGACAATTTATTCTCATTTACACTGGAATGGGCCCTCGTAAGCACCGCAGTGAAGGTGAAAGTAGAACCGACTTGGGGTTTACTTGCAAATCCAATCTCTCCCTTCATGAGGCCGACCAAGCATTTGCTGATGCTTAATCCAATGCCAGTGCCCCCATGGATGCGAGCAATGGATGGACCTACTTGCATGAAAGGGGTGAAGACACGGGACTGAGCATCGGACGGGATTCCAACACCAGTATCTTCAACTGATATTATCAAGCTTATTGAGTCCGATGCAACGGGTGCAAAAGGCATCTCGGATGAGTTCAGTTCCCTACTAAAAAGTCGAAAGTTTTCCCAACTGCACTTCCTGTTTGCCACTGGGTAGCCACTTAAGGTATTTGCATATTGAGTTCCGGTCTCAACCTCCAAACAATGCATAACCTCCTCAACGACATGAACAGTCAAGTAGATATGACCCCTCTCTGTGAACTGTGGAAAATATAGAACTCTTTAACCAATAGAGAACAAATGCATATAAATATACAAGGGATATCCTATTTCCATTTGTTATCGATATACAGTGATTATCTTACTTTTATAGAGTTTCCGACAAGATTTGTAATGATTTGCCTTATTCTGCCTGGATCGCCAATTAGTGTTTGTGGAACTTGGTCAGAAACAAACACTGCCAACTGCTCCCATTGTGCGTCATAGTAAGGAATAACCAAAATAAAGTCAGTGCATTTATATAATAAAATACAGTAAAACTGCAGTGTGTGATAGCAAGGCTGTAGTCTTTGATTACCTCCAGTCCTTTCTCCTGAGCTTTCCCACAGAAGAGAGACAAAATGTCATCACAAACTGTTCTAAGATCAAAGGGTACTGCCTCAAGCTCAAGTTTACCAGACTCGATCTTTGCCTGATCAAGAACCTCATTGATGAGAGATACCAAAGCTTTGCCACTGGCTTGTGCGGTTCTAACATAGTCTTGTTGTGTTGTGTCCAAATCAGTATCCATGAGCATTTGGAGCATCCCTGCAAAATCAGAAACATCATATCTCCTTTCACTCTAATTAACAATGAAGAATATTGTACAATTTAGATGGACTAGAACCTCACCTAGAACACCATTCATTGGTGTTCTGATCTCATGAGAAACAGTAGCCAAGAACTGCATGCAAAAACGGCATTGAATTAATAAGGTACTATTTTTTGGTCCCTATCTCAAAAAAGAGAGAGAAAAGATCAAGCCTTTGGCCTCCAATCCAAGAGAAACAGTAACACAAAGCATGCATAGCTATTATTAGTAGCGAAGCTAATCACCTGTGACTTGGCAATATCTGCATCCTCTGCGCGCTTCTTGAGCAGACTCATCTGCTGAAAGTCATCTTCAACTCTGGCAATCCGTTTTGCAGTAGCATAAATTATGTATCCAACCAGTAAACCAATCACAAAAATTCCAATTGATGTCGTTATTGCCACCCAAGGCCAAGGTGGGCTCTGAATGAACCTATTAAAGAGAAACATATGAGACACAGAGCCTTACAAAGAATAGACTACAGGGGTAACACATTTTAATTACAGGTTTCTTCGAAGAAGAAATAAATCACCTGCAGTGCATCTCATGCTTCCTTGTCGG